GAATAGGCCCATTGTATCTGTGTATTCAGGGGCAATTGGACATGAAATTACTGAATTTCCTTCCGCTAATTGCCCACCGGCTGATTTGATCCCACATGATCAGCAAAATCCTGCTTTGAAAAATATTACATCCACAGGGTTTGGTTGTTGCCTGGGGCCAACAGGTCATGTTTCAGTAAACATTACCTGGATTCACACACACATACTATTAGCAGGGTAGCATCTCATTCAACTATTTGTACATGTTCCTCTTGTCTTAAGTAATGTTTAACCATGTTACAGCCCAACTTTACACTTACATATACATTAGTTCCGAACCATGACGCCATTTTACTGTTCTTAGAATTAATATTGCTTTGGGTTTTTTATTTCAAAAGAATCCACAATAAAAAGTACAAATGTTTACATGTGGGGGGTACCAACACAGATCAACTTTCATGCAAAGTACAAACTTTAATGTACTTTTCTTTAGGATGCAAAATTTTCTCATTACCTGCTTTTGCAGTAGTCTTCGAATCCAACTCAATCCAACTCATGTTCGTGGTTTACTCTAGAAACCAATAAAGTCAATAATGTGGCTGTGATATTTGAGGGTTTATTGTTATTCAAACATATTCATGATGTGTAGAAATGAAAGAGCAGATAAGGAGAAGCTTCAACACTTCAGGCAAGTTTACAGAATTACAAAACGTAATTGGGAAAGGACAGGGGGTAGTTGGCTTGGGGCTAGCTAGATACTTGTATCTCTTGCCAGTGTTACGCTGTTGAAAGCTACGCCAACCTTGACTACAAACAAACATGTTTGTTCCAAATGTGTCAGTGCAGGGTTACATGGAGAAGATGTCTTTGGAAGCCAGGGGACAACCTCCTGTGAAATTATACACAAATGTCAGCTAGACCTTGAAATAGGCCATTAATCCAAGCCAGAGTGTCTCTTTCCTTGGAATTCGCTCTGCTCGCCTGTGTTCAAGGTGTAAGTTTTCCTGCAGCAGATGAAGATGCATGGGTGCACAGGAATGTATAGTTTCCAGGCTGTCAGCTTCCATAGCTAGCTACATGGAGAGAGAGGAGTCTATAGGGACAGGACAGGCCAGGACGGGCTTCAGCCTGGCAGGAGGGGGAGATGTTTCTCTCCTACCTCTGTGACAGCGTGTTACTTCACAAGGCCACAATTGGCACTCAGGAGGAAGAATGCTTTCATTTGGGTGATGTTTCCAAGATTTTCTAGGTGGAATGCGACGGCATGGCCGGCTAAATCCCACTCCTGCAATTATCAGAGCAGAGCTTCGACCACTTTCATTCTGTTTTACCCTCAGGCGATGGTCCAGTCACGCCGGAAAGAAAGCAGACCAGTCTTTCCCAGTCACTGGAGAGCGTGCTCCCATTGGGAGAGCTCCCGGTCAAGTTCAGGTGATTGCAGCTGGCACCATACATGTCTTATCACTGATTTCCTACCCCTCATCCCACACAAACATGAGGGGTGGAGCTGTCCCCTGCCACATCTACACTCTTCCCC